CCCCCCCCCCCCCCCCCCATTATTTAAAATGCTTTGCTCTCTGACAGCACCAAGGCAAAAATGGAGGGGAGGCGCAACGGAATGAGGGAGAATACTTTTTTGATCCTAGAAATTACTCGTGTATTTATTTTACAAGAGTTTTGAAATAAATTAGAGAAGGCACCGTAGTGGACCTTCTTTACACCACCTGTCCTCTGCTTGTGACTCACCAGACACATTTTCTTTCCAATCTTCCTGACCACGCTCCAAGCATTTTTTCAGGATGGTATGATCTTCCCATTCTCTAACGTTTATCCCTAAAATTCCATTCAACTTCCACCATCTCCTCCTTTCATCTCTTCCATACGTGGACTACATGGTGCTACCATTCTATCATAACCTGCCATATTGCACTGACATTATTTGCATTTATGTTGATTCCTATAGAGTACATATAACCCACACATACACAGAGAGACATACAACACAATGAATTGTAAGCCACTCTACAGTATAACAGATATCATGTCTTCTTTATCTTCTTCCCCCCTGCACCTATGCTAAGCCTAATGCATAGTAGGGATTCAATAAATGTTTGCTAAGCTGAACTTATTCTGACTCCCCTCATAGATGGTAAGCACTATGAAGACAGGGACTCAGTCCTCTTCATCTTTATGTATGTGAACGCTATCTTGTGTCTTACATTTTGAAGATGTTCAATGTATTTGTTAATTTTTTAAAAATTATTGAAAACTCGCTACATATATAAATATTTATTGAAAATATATGTGTATCAATCATTTCTAAATTCACCAAAGCCATAGGGTTTAAGAAAGTGATGACATTTATTTGATTTGTTTCTTGAAAACTCTTTTAAAATGCATTTTGCTGGGAGATTTCTTGCTACATTTCTGTTGCATTTTGCTATAATCGCTAGCAGCATTATTCATGTTTCATTAATTTCTTGTATGGGTTATACTGTTGTATTAAACAATTTTCTTATGATACAGTCCTCTAATGAATATTTCATGTAAATAAAAAGATTCCTCTGAGAAGTATAATATATTTTTCAGTAACTCACTCTGCCATTTCCCTTGGCATGTAAAGAAGTTTTGAATATTATCAGAAGTGAAATAGATCTTATCTGTGAGACTCTTGATACAACAGTGGAAATGGAAATTAATAGATTTCCCTGGGTAAACATAGGAAGCATTCAAAATCTTCTCTAACTGTAAGAAGCCATAGATGAATGGTTAAAAACCTGAGAAATAAAAGTAATTCTATCTTACTTTGGAGATATATTTATATACATGAATGCATATATATGATGTACATAACTCACATATATATCCTTTACAATATGGGTATCTTTAGCTTTCTAGGGATTCAGAAATTTTCCAATAATCATACTGTGAAGATGCAAATCATTAATTCATGTATTACTTTAATATTCGTTGACCACCTACTATGTGCAAGGCTTAGAGTAATGAACAAAACAGACAAAAACCATAGAGTTCATTAAGTTTGCATTTAGTGAGGTAAAATAAAATAAACAAGTAATTACTTTGTAGTGCTAATTTTCCAATCTGTCCTGCCCGAAATTTGGAATACCCTTTTTCTCCTAAGGACAAAAAGCACAATCCTCAGAAAGATAATATTACCAACCTACATTTCATTGTTTTGGGGGGGGTTTGTTTGTTTGTTTTTCTCTAAAGTTATCAGGTGACTCCTTCACACCCTCTTTGGGCATGGAAAGAAATTATTAAATTAGGAAAATTTAAAGCCTCTACATGGAGAAATGCTCAAAATACCTTTCCCTTCAAATGTATTCTTATAACTTTATGCAAAGTTAAGATTAATATAGGAGTTGATAGTTTCAGTAAAATAGCATAAAGCAAAACAACTGAATTGCTGTCTATTCTGTTATTCTAAGGACATCTATTTTAAAAGCGGAAATCTTTTATTTGGATAAGTCACAGTACAATGAGTTGATGAATACCTAAAAATAGTCTACCATATTAAATCACTGTGGCACTAATTTTGTATGTAATGATTTCCTGAGTTGAAAAACCACAATTCCTGTAACACTTATATTGTATTCAGAAGTTTACTCAAATATGTAATCTATTAACGTTTTACAAAGCAATCATTTAATCTCTGGGACCTTTCCTTTGAGTTCCAGACCCATATATCAAACTCCTAACTCAACATCTCTTCTGAATGTGTCCAGTGCTGAACTCCTGAACCTTCCAACTTCACTCCCAAAAATCTTTTCTTCAACCAGTGTTCACTATCTTGGAAACAGTACCATCTTCTACTCAGTTACTCAAGTCAAAAACCCAAGAAAGGGATTCGCAGTAGTGGGAGACTGTCAGGGGAGGGGGAATAGGATTGCAGTTGAGAGAAACTGCTAGGGGAGGAAGGGGCATACCTCATCAACAAAGGTACCTGCATAATCAACGTTTGTATCCCTAACCCTGAATTGTACCCCACAACTTTATAATAAAATAATAATAATAAATCATTGACATCACTGTCTTTTACTCTTAAAAACCAATTAATCAGCAACACTTTCTATCTCAGAAGTACACTGTAAATATATCCGCTTCTTTTCACCCTGTATTGCCCCCATAATCGCTTGCCTAGACTGCCACAGTTGGTATTAGGGCCCTCATTCATGCTTGCTTCCCTCCAGTCCTCTCTCCATACTGCAGGCAGAGTAAACTCTTTAAAACTCAAATCTGATAATATCTTCTTCTACCTGCAACCCTTCATGACATCCCATTGCTTTTAAAATACACTCCAAAATTATAAACATGGTCTAAAAGACCCTGCTTAACTCTCCAGCCTCATCTCATTCCTCTTACTCTTTCCCCTCTAGGTTCTAGCCATATTGTCTCTCCTTTATTTCCTCTAATAGCTCATGTTCCTTCCTGCTTCAGGGCCTTTACACATGCCCTTCCAAGTGCCTGCAGTACACCTTTATCTTTCTCTCCCCCGTCCTGCTTTCTTCTAGCTGAATCCTATTCATTCTTTACAATTAATTTGAAATTTCACATACTTTGGCAAGTCTTTGTTGAGTCACCAATCAAGATTAAGTCTCCAATCAACCTATACTCCTTTGTTGAACTTATCATGATTGGAAATATCTAATTACTTCTGTAATTACTTGTTTCATCCTGTCAGAAAGTAAGATCCACAAAGGCAAGGAATGTAGCTATATTGTTCATCATTATATCCCCAGAACATAATCCAGTGCCTGGTACAAGTAGGCACTCAAAATTATCTGCTGAATGAATGGATAAATAATAAAATATGTGAAGTTTTCAAGAAACAACACATGAGTTACAATATTTAAAGTATTTTAAATGGGAATAAAATAAATTGGTTGCCCAGTAAACTTGTTTCATCATCTTATTTTGTGTTTTTAATTGAACAAGTAATACACATATGTTAATAAAAACTCTAATCAGCACAAAAGCTCATAGAAAGACTACTAAGACAAATTAGTCCCCGTACCCTTCCTATCCCCCAGTTGTCCTCTGCAGAGATAGGCACTATTGCCAGTTTTTTGTAAATGCTACTAGAGGGTGTGCCTGTGTTGGGGGAGTGGTAATCCCTTTCTTTTTATTGACACAAATGGAGGCATGCAATAAACATTATTCTTCACCCTATATTTTTTTTTTACTTAATATTCTTGGAAATCCTGTGCTCTTAGTATATAGAGGGATGCCTCCTTCTTTTTAACAATTCCCTATAATTCCATAATATGAATATATCATAATTTATTTTCTATTTCATTTTTATAGATATTTAGTTTTTTCTAGTATTTTTTCAACAGATGAGGCTGCTATGAACATCCTTTTATTAGAGAGGCAGTATAAGATAATGGTTATGCATTCAGACTCTTCTACAGACTTTCCAGGTTTGTCCCAATTCCATCATTTACCATTGGAATGGCCTTGAACAAGTTATTTATTCTCTCTGAACCTCAGTTTCCACATCTGTAAAATGAGGCAA